CAGCATCAGGTCAAGGCATTCCGTGGCTAATTCACAGTCTACTCCAACTACCCAGCTCTCAATCGTCTAGTAGACCTCCGCTGTGTCTGTCACCACCTGGTCACAGTCTTTGCATCATGCGTCTCAAAAACGCCTCATTCTTCTCCAATGCTGTCTTCAGCTTTGCTTCGTTCCCAGCATGACGTTGTCTCAGTTGTTCCATGCGCACATCCACTCCTGGCCCATAGAGCAATTCTGTCGCTTCAATTCTCTCTCGTTTGCGCATACTCTTCATGAGGGATGCGTCGAATTGGGACAGTACCACAGGAACCTGCTTCTCCCTACCCTCTCTTATCACCCATTCCATCCACTGCTCTCTGCCAACTGAGAAATTCGCATTCAATGAGGGTCTAATGGCTCCAGCATGTCTTGCCAGCACCACATCTGCCTCTATGACACCACTCTTTGCTCGACCATGGAATTCACCCCCAAAAAAATCGGTTGGGCCGGCTCCTAGGCCTCCACGCTGCCGCGTGGCCGTGGCGCGCTGTCCAGGGCGCCGAGCCCAGGGAGCGCCAGACGTAGCCGTCCTGGCTGCTCCAACCTCGGCTGGTTGCTGCGATAGTCTAGGTCCTCCAGTAGAGAGCTTAGAATAAGTTGGCACCAACTTTTTGCTGTAGTCTATTTTAGTAGGGGAACCCTCCCCCAAAAAAGGGTAAAAGGGCACTACTGGGGGACCTAGCAGTGAATGAAGGAACCCTTGTACACCGTTCCTTATGGTTTCCTTCAAGGGACTCCCAGAGATTGATTGAATCTGCAAACAGGTAGGGAACGAGGGTAGGAAATGAGAAATGGAACCCTTGCAAACCATCCCTTATGGTTTCATTTGGGAATCCCTTTCAGGTTCATTCTCACTTTACGAGGTTAAAACAAAACCCGGGAAAAAACTCCTTTTACTGGGGATTCAGACCACTTTGAAAGGCAACACCCAATAGGATGGGTTTATGAAAATCCGGGATCAACATAGGAGCATAGGTGGCCTTTCGGCAAAATAGCTGGGAATGCCTGGTAAATGGGGAATCAAACCAAACCAGTGAAACCCATCTATGCTTGGTTGGTTCTGTTTGCTGAAAATGGCGGTAAAGCAACACCCATCTAAACTTGTTGTTTTCCAGGTGAGTTGATGATCCGCTTGGTGGGATGATGCTTGAGGGAGAAACATAGGGAGCCCTATGGGGGGGAGGGGGAACATGGGGAAGGGGACCGGTTGAGAACAAATGGCACAATTTCGACCCATTTTGGTTGTTGTCATCCCCATTTACCCGCATTAAGGGAATGTTGCCATCTACTTCAAGCCCCGATGTTGTATGTATAAAAGGTTCGTACAATCCTCACGGTCGATGAAGGTTCATGAGTTGAAGAAAAGCCTGGGTTGCTGACAACATGGACGAACAATGATACACATGCTAGTGAAGTTGCACTCAAAATCAACATTAATTTCTTTGAGTGCTGATAACATGAATATAGGTCAGGTGTATAGAGGCGCTATGTTGGATTCAAGACAACAGCAGTATAACAGGCACACGAATTGCTCGGTTCACAAAGGCCCAACCCTAATCCGGTGCAACCCGGGTAGAAGCGTCTAGAGCAAACATCTAACGTTTTGAAGGTTCGATGGGTCAATCCACTATACAGGTCAAACAGCCTAAGGGCCTTTTCCAGATAAAAAGGGCTTAGTTCCACTCTGAAGCAACGCCGGCTCTACCGAAAGCCCTCCAAAGAAGTTTGCGCCAAGGGGCGAAATAACAAACTCTGCCCGAAAAGTTCAAAGTGCAGGAACTCAGGGAGTGAGTAACTACTTGGGCTCTGATAGATTCACTGCCCTTCAAGACATCATTTGCTCCAAGTTCCTGCGGCTGGCTGTTGCCATAAGACCCAAGTGCTGTTTCTTGGCATAGCTTCCCCCCAAACCCGTGATGCCAACTTGGGCTTGGTCGCCCAGAAAGTATGAAGTCCAACTCAGGAAGTGTATTGATGCAACCCAGTCAAGGATCCCTTCAGCCTCTAGCCCTTCAGTCAAGGACTAGGCTCATGTCCAGCGGTCCTTGAAGGGGCACCGCCACCTCTTGCAACTCGAGATGAAGTCATGAGTTCAAAATGATTCTCCAAATTCACATGAAACCCCAAACGCCATTGGAGCTTTTCTGGTGGGACATCCTTTGCAGAGCATGGATACACGAATGCGTGCTTGCAAAATATTCAATCCTCCAGGAACATGCCAACTCAAATGGTGTTGTGTAGACATGGGCGGGAGGGTCTGGGTGACTGGCTTGAAGTATGCGTCTAACCAATAGAAAGACTTTGAGATGTTGCTTACTCAGCGTTACCATTCGCAGTCGCAACTACCGGGTACACCCCACCGCCAATCGCCTCATGATGTGATCCGGCAGAAACAAGCTCAACTCCACGACTACCGTACGATCTTTCTGGAAAGCTCCCTGGCATCACAGAGCGAAGGAAATCAAGGACCCTATTTTGGGCCCCCTGCCAACTGTGGGTCCCCAAGAGAGCGCCTACTTTTGACAATCTGACATATACATTCCGGGGTAGGGGGCCGTCTCTTACACATGGGCAGTGTCTGCACAGACAGGTTCATCCAAAGAAACGGACATAACTGTACATTTGCTCAAGTCCGCTGGAACAAAACAAGGTTCCAGTAGTGCCCTTTACAAACCAACAGGTCCCAGGTGTGAAACATAAGGTATGCGTCGGGACCAAGATCGGTGCGGGGGGGGGGGAGGTTCGGGAAGGGGGGGTTGTCACTTGAATTGTACATGATTGACCCTTAGAGCAATGTAGATATCCCTTGTATCATTTTGTACAGCATGTGAATCACAGCTTGCTATCTTTGTTTGCAGTGGCTTAACCCACATTCTCACAGAGAATAGCTGCGCAGATAAACAAGACGTCAGTCTCCGTGCCTTGTCATTCTGACTGCTTAGGAATATATATATATATATCAGTATCCTGTTTGGGGGGGGATGGTACAGTTCTTGTTTATTGAAACCACGTCTCATGAGTTCTGTTGGGACTAAGATCGGTGGATGTGGTCCATGTTCATTCCATCCAAAGACAAAATCACAACTGTTTGACTCAAATCACAATGGAATTAACAACATCCACCGATCTTGGTCCCGACGCATGGCAAACATAACAATAGCGAACAAACTACTATATATATATATGTATATATGTGCAAAACAAACAAAACACTGAAACACAAATGGAAGAAACATGGTCAGAGATAGGCTCGAATATTGAAGATGTAGTGCCTTCAGCTTTTCACAACGTAACATGCGTCCCAACTCTGCCTCATGGCACAGTCACGTGTCAAGCACACTAGCAGGCTTTTGAGGCTACCCTTTGTTGGCGGTGTGAAAGGCAGGTGGTGCGAAATGGATTTTGGCCACACTGTAAACCCCTGAAGTTAAACATTGCCCAACTTGGAACCTTTCGACGCTATGTCGAATCTCTCGCTCGAGGGGCAGTCGCTGTCCACTTTGGCACGCCCGGAGAAGCCGCCCATCACCTGAGCGCTTGAGTCACTTTGCGCCCTAACTAAAGACTCAAAACGGACGTTTTGACAGATGCATGAGCTTCCCTTCAAGACAGCCCTATGTGCGTGTGTGTGTGTGTGCGCGTGCTTTTGGAGAGTACCCTTTTCATCTTAGTTCGAAACCCAACCAAAGGGAATGCCACCAAATAAAACCTGTCCCCGTTTGACACGCTCCCATCTGCCAAGCCGCGTGTTGCTCTCTCTTTTTTTCCATCTGGGCCTCCGGCGATGAGGATCACCCGTTTCGGGTCCACGACGGCTGCATGCCCTCGCCTGCTCGTGGATCCCAGTCATGGGCTTCTGGGCTACGTTCAAACCCAAGTTCGTCCGGAACATCACATAAAACCAGTAGCAAATAGACCCATGTTGCCCTTTATACTCGCACTACAGCGGGTAACCAAAAACTTTTTTTAGTTGTTGAAGGATAGCTTTCTTAGTTACCTCAAATGAAGTCAGCGGCTATTTTGGAGGTGTCCGACACTCCAGCCGTAGTCCTTCGCTCGAAGTTACATCTCTCAAACTAAAACACTGTGCGGCCAATAACTCATTTTTGTTGGCTTCCTTCAACCAAGGGAAAAATCGAAAGTAAACAGTCAAGCTTGTCAAATCCTCATGAGCAAAACTCACTTGCTTGTATTTCCCACCGAAACACGATTGCAACGCCCAATGCTTCTAGGGCAGGTGATAATTATAAGGACTGGTATTGTTTTCAGGGCAGAAAGCAGCTCTGCAAGAGTTCAACTGCTTCGCCCTGTGAAGATAACTTTTGGGGGGCAAGAAAATCACCCGACGCCCGACAGGTTCCGGAGTCGCTTCGGGCCACTCAGGGATCAGAACGCCCCCTATACCCCTCACTCCCGAGTCGAGTCGCCTGGGCGTGAAGCGTTTGGAGCGCGGCTCCAGCTGCTTCCAGCTTTTGCCCTCGCAAGCGCCCAACCACCCGTGCCGCAATTTTTGGCTAGTCAACATGGACCCCCTTTTGGTTGGTATTCAACTGGAAACCACAAGGAAACCAAATTATGTTAGGGGACCACCCTTGCGAGGCCCGCTTTCAAATACCCTTACTCTTTTAATGCATGATGTCAAGCGCTGACTGGCAACCGAGGTATTTACTATGGAAAATCGAGCTGTCCGAAATCTACCAACACACAATATATGTAGTGTGGGCAGGAGGTTGTTTATACATATTGTTAATCTATATATATATATATATTGAAACCACTATCGGTTGCAACCAGCGACCCACATGGATAGAAAAGGGACCTATGTCTTATGTTTAGTCGGGATGCCACCAAGCAGTAACGGGAACAAGGGGACTAAGGAGATTTCCTGAAACTCAATGAAAATGGTTGCACGCCATGAAAATCAACCAGGTTCAGTAGTCAAGACTCAACACATCGGTCAT